ACGAGCACCGCTAAACCCGATCATCACGTCTACAACGCGACCGGCTACCTCGTGGAACACGACGAGCTCGATCACAGTAAGTAATAAGAGGCCGAGGTTGAATACGGTTAATGCCCGTTACACCGGTATCAAAGCCGGACCTAATGGAAGCTGCATTAGGCCGCTCTCACGCCCGGAAATGCCACTTACCGATCATCCCCCCTATTTCTCGCCGCGTCTGCCTCTTTCTTCTTACCTCTTTTTTTCTCTCTCTCTCTCTTTTTCTTTTCTTTCGATCAACGGGGACGGGCTTTTGATCCTCGTTCATTTTCGAGGATGAAAATCGCATTTTCGAATCGCATTTTAACGATGGTTAAAAGCAGAAGAGGGGTGTGTATAGTTTCGATTCGATGTAATATGAAATATGAAAACGGCGTTGAATTTTTCACGCGAGACTGAAAATTATTCGTTTTCGATTCGATTGTAGAGAGAGAAAGAGAGAGGAGAGGAGAGGTATCTCTCTCGATCAAAAAACTCCGGTTTTCGTTTCATCGGGAATCAAAGGGATCTTGGGGGAATTGGGTCTAAACGTTGCTCGTTCATTCCACGTTCTCTCGATAGCCCGGCTAACTAATCCACGAATTCCCACCTTCTCTTCCCTTCTTCCTCCTCCTCCTCCCCTTTTGCGACGGGCAAAACAGTTTCCAAGGGAAGCTTAATCCCTTATCCTATCTCTCCTGAAATTTATCACCGCGCATATAGCCAGGCCTCTTTCTTTTTGTTCGAAACTCGTCGATTTCTTCTTTATCGGGAACATTTCAATGCAAAACGAAACTCTTTTGCCTTTTGATACAATGTATAATAATAATAATAATAATAAGCGAAACGCGAGTTTACATTCGTTTCAGGAGGATCAAGTTTCGTAGTATAGAACGAGACGAGCAACAGCGGTAATATTAGTAGTAGTTGTTAGTAGGTTTTTTTCAAAAGGAGGCTTCGATCAAAGGATAACCCGTTATCAGAGGCGGCAGGCTGCGTGGCACGCATCCCTCCCTCCTCCTCCTCTGTTTCGCCAGAGCAAATCTTGGCCCATCTTCATCCTTGCTCCATCCCGACTCCAGGCCGACTGCGACACAGGCTGAATACTAATCGCAAACGCTGCGGTCTACCAAAGTCGGATCGATAGCGGCCGCTCTCTGGAATCACCGGGGTGATACACGATGAAATTCGGTTCCCCGATCGAAAGCTTTTTGTCGTTAGATATTCATGCGCTCCCCGCTAGGGAGGGGAGCTTAAGAATTTTTCTTCCCCTCCCCCTCCGATATTTATGAGAGTTACCTGTTATGCATGAAAGGAGGGTGGGGGCGATCGGGCGCCGGATTTCTCGAATACGTTTTCTCCCTGATCTGAAACAATTCGACGGTATCTTCAACGCGACATTCTTCCCCCCCTCCTTCGATTCAAGATCGTAAATTCTATTCTTGCTTGTTAGAGGGATCGTAGTAGTTTTATCTTTGTTTCTTGTCTTTTCCTTTCCTCTACATCTCGGATACACTCTTTTCCCGGATTAATTTCGATTACCTTTGATTTCATCAGCATCTCCTTCAGGATTCGTTGAATTTCCGCCTGCGCCTCGAGCGCGTAAGGTCTCTCCAATCTTTTCAGGAAACGCGTGACGGTCGTGGAGAATATATCCCATTGATCCGACTCGCTCTCGCAAGTGTAGCTGCTCGAAGCCGTGCTGTACATTCCCGCAATTCTGAATTCCTGATTTTCCTGTTTTTAGCATGGTAATCGTCATCAATCCTTCTTCTCGTTTTTTTTTTTTTTTACGAGGCAAAGAATAATATTTATTCGGATAAAGACGTGCGTATGAATAAAAAATTCATTGTGGAATGTTTTTTATACATTATTCCTTTTTTGTCTTTCGGATCCCGTTAACAAAATTTTACTTGATATTGATTGATTGATATGTGCGACGATAATTTTTCTTAACAACGAAGAACTATCGTCATTTTCACGATCTTTTAAAAAGAAAAGAGCAAAGAGTTTTGAAGTTTTCGCATTATCATCGTTTCTTCGAGAATGTTACAAGGAACGAAGGAGTTAGGTAGTACAAATATCCGTTAAAAAAGTTACGGGGCGCAACGGAAAAGAAAAAAAGAAAAGAAAGGAAGAGAAATGCCAAGATCGAGGAAAGCGAAAAAAAACATTCCACGAATTATTCGTCCACGGTGGACTCGTGAACCGAATCGCAAGGAGGGATTTATTTTATATCATCGTGATCTACCTGTCGCCTGTTCATCGTCTCGTCGTCCCCTGACGAATTCTCGCGCCGTTTCAATCTCTCGCAGCAAGAATTGATCGAGCGTATCCTACACGAAACGGATCTCTCCATTTGTTTCTTAGCGTTTGATATCCTGCCGCAAGAGTGGGAGCAAGTTCGAGGGTCGGTCTTGATCTTTGGCAAGGAGATTCCTGGGGAGCTGATCGAGTTCGAGAAACCACGGGGGGAGACGGACGTGGAGCTTTTCACGCAGCTGCTTTTACGCGATATGCATCGAGTGCAGTTGCATCTCGGTGAAAACTCTTCCGATTCCCTGCGCTCGCCGCAAGATTTGTCTATTTTCTGCGAAAATTCGACGTTGCTCGTATATATATATATATAAAACAACAATTGGAACAACCTTTAGTAATCTAGAAAATACTCTACTTCAACCGTATTTACGATATTTGCTCGTGCATTCGGGGAGGGGGGCTCCATGCCAAAAGATTACGTAAATGACCGTAAAAGCATAAAGACGTATCTTCAAAAGAAAAGAGATCGAGATCACTTTAAAAAAGTATTTTCGTTCCATCGTTGCCGAGAATTTAATGTAATGTATAATTCGAAACGGAAATAGGAGGCGATTTATTCATAATCAATTGTATTCAAGAGATTTCTATTGAAAACAAACTCGTTGGATTATTTCGGTCGGACGGTGTCATAATCACGGTTAATTAAAGAGAGAGAGAGAGAGAGAGAGAGAGAATTTATAATAAAAGGTATAACGACGTGGAGCCCTCCCCTCCCCCTCCCTCCGTATAACGAGAAAGTAGCGAGCCAACGTAACGTTTATTGTGAACGTGTTTGCCGAGGTCCGCTACGCTAATGGCGTGTATAACGAGTTGATCGATACGAACGTGCAACTCGACTGCCTCGTCGTAATCCAGGTACGGGTAGAGAAATTGATGCAATTCATAGAACCACGGTATCTGGACCTGGTAGCAATAACCGTTCGATTTCGCCTCCAACAGATTTCTCAACTCGTTCACGTATAATCGCCTCATCTCACGAATCTTCAAAACGATCTCGACCAACGTTACCCCGGGCAGATTCATGGCAAGATGGATCCGGGTGTAGGCACGATGCCTTTGCCCGCTGTTCAAGTAGCTCCACATGTCCTTCTTCCATAGGCACGGCGATTTTCTGTAAAGGGACGCCAACTTGCGGAAATGACGATTAATCCATTCCTGTTGGTCGACGATCCTCCGTGACAATCGTTCCGAGGAACAGTCGCTCATTGTGCGTACGAGTTCCCCCCGTTACGTCGTCCTCTCGTCATCGTGGCTTTCGGCTCGAGTGGAAACGAGATCGACGATACGTTATGGTTATCCCGATTTCGGGGATTTGCATCGTTGCAACGTTGAAGGTTAGGTCAGGAATAGAAGGGAAATTGAAGAGGTATTTTTGTAACCTTAGAAAAAAAGATTGAACTTTTCAACTTTGGAATTTTCGAACGCGAACGAGGAGTATAACAACGCGAGAATACACCCTTCGATCGTCTCGTTAAGTCAATGTCATCTTTGTCGAGATTAGAGTTATACACGTGCACGGTATATACGGTTGGGGTTGGGGGGGAAAAAAAGGAGAATTTCGAAGAATTCGTCTCTTCTCCCTTCCCTTTCCTCATCCCTCCATCCTTGTTCGCGCGTCTCGATTCGATATTTCGACTCGACGAGAGTCGTCGAGGCGGCTACGATCTCGAGATTATTTAATTATTCAATTTACGAAATTTAATTTAACGCAATACCTTGATCTTGATCCTTATTCCCTTTCTCCTTCTAAATTATAGATAAATCTATAATTTCACGATTGTAACGATGTTATTGCAGGTATACTCGCCGGTTTCTCTGATATACAGACAGTTTTTCTAGCGTGTATCTCGACGTTGCTGCCGTTGATCGTCGCGCTGGGGATCGCCTTCGGCGTCAGGTAAGAGGAAATATATTCGTAGCTTTCACGCAACGTACGTTTAGAAAAGTTTTTTCGCAAACATTTAGCCCCTCTCCCTTTACGATCGCCACTTATCGACCAACACTTTACACACACACACTCAAACACAGGTACAAACGCGCAAACAGGTGCGCACGTCTCCCGAAAAGAAAGGGAAAAAAATAAAGGACAATTCATTTTTGACGTTTAGTATTTTATCCTCGAGCTACGATCATTTTTTTCTTTCTTTCTTTCTTTCCTCCACAAGGTCGTGTCCATCTTAAAACTTGTATCGGGAATTATCTTAATTAAAGTCCACCCTGTCAAAGGAAGGGGACAGGTGACACGACATCCATATTTATAAATATTCTTTTATTCCCACCATTTTTGGGGAGCACACCTGCGCCAAACGGATCCAGACGCGCGTTTGTACCGTTTCTCGGTCTCTAAATTCGTAACTGTGGGTCGAGAGATCGCGCTAAGGGACGAAGAGAGAGAGAGAGAGAGAGAGAAAGAGACGAGATCCGCGTCTAACCGCACAAAGAGGAAAACCGTTAAGTCAGCGAATGGGTTAACGGTACCAACGATAGTCGCGTTATAACTGAGACTAAGAGGGGAGAGTCTCTCTCTTTCTCTCTCTGCGTGTGTCGCGAAAGCGAAAGCCCAGACGTTGATTAATTAAAGACAAAGCCGGATGCGAATCGCGCGACTCGATCATTGTCTAAAATCTATTGGCGGTTGTAAGACATCTACATCGCATCCGTGGGCAGCAAATTCACCGGTTGATCGATTGTCGCCTCGGCTTCGACGTGATCTCTAATCCTTTACGATGTATCGACAGCTAAGCGCGACTTCCAACCCTTGCTCCTCGACGAGGTTCGAGTCAAGGAAGCGAAGGTCGGAGGCATCAAGGTCGGATTTGGCACGATAGAGAAGGAGAATTAATCTCGAATGTTTGGACGATATTCTTTGCACCTTTCTCCACTTCTGAGTGAAATCTCCGTCGTGGATAAACGTCCTGAGAAAGTAAATTTCTGCTGCTAAATCTTTCTTACAGATGTACCGACGCGACGGTTAAATACTCAAGGGGATGGAATGAAATCGTTTCCTTTTTTGGGATAAAATAAATTATTACGCCATATTATCGAACGAAGGTGATTTGAATTTTCAATAATGGTTTTAATGGTTTCAACCGGTTAATTAATATTTTTGGATGGAATCTCACACGTGAATTTCAATTGGAATCCGCTAAGCTACACGCATTGTGTAATTTTCATCCTTACGTGGTGAAAAAAATGTTTACTGATCGTTAGCAACATGCAGCAAGTTAGGAATTTTCCCTGTAATCGGGATGGAGAACAATAATCCTCGGCGTTATTGCAGAGAAATTTGCAGAGAAGAGGATTATTCGATGATTCGATTCGAGGGAACGAGAACGGAATTATTCGACGATTGTTCAACCGGTTATTTTGAAAACTCGCGAAACCCAAGCTGATATCACGAAACAATCTCGAGATATTTGCGATAAGTCGTTGTGTTGTATGCTCTGCAAAAATAAATCGAGATGGAGCAAAAGCGTATCGATACGATTCTCTTGCGCGAAAATAATCCATTCGTTAAAATGGATCTTACATTACTGTATCGTTAATTTCCTTATTTTTAATTTTATCTCGACTCAAAGGACACCATCCATTAGTAGATTTCTCGTTTGTTGGTCGAAAACTTTCCTCGCTCGTCTCTTTTCCTTCTTCTTTAGTAGTAGACGCCAAACCAACCTCTCAATTAAAATTTCTCTCCGATGGAAAGTGGAAAGAATCTTGACAATATCCTCTTTCGAGCAAACTTATTTACACGGGATATTAGATATTAAATTGTCCGTTTTTTAAACGCGTTTTCTAAAAGTGACTTTTTTTGTTTTTTTTCACAGGCACGTGTGGAGAAAATACCGAAACAGGCGAGACAGTTCGAGTGGATTGCCCTGGTACAGGAGTGTATACTCTCGAGACAATACAGCCGAATCCTTGCATCATCGCCCCCACTCGGGAGGCACCACCATTCAATCCGCCACGAGGATCCTCTCTGCCCAAGACGTGAGTACTTTAACGTTACTCGTTGTCTCGCTTTCCGCCAATTTTACTTACTTAGGGGGTGTGTAATTTTCGAGGGGGAGGGAGAGGATGGTCAGGGTTTAGGTCAGTGAACACGTGGCTGTCGGTGGAGAGATGCGGTGTCCTTGACGAGTAAATGTTCGGAAATCGATCGACTCGACCGAGGTTCCATCGACCGATTCGGGTGGCTAGCCCAGCTAGCCGATGCTAATTTCGACGTCGTCCGTTGAATAAATAAAACGGCATAGTCCGGCCCGTTTCTGAAAAATTGAACCACGTTCTCGAGCGTGGAAAACGGAATTCTCACGCCCCAGTTGCTCTCAGGCCAACCTTCCAACCTCCATCCATCCATCCATCCATCCAGCCCGCATTTTTCTTCACGAGATTTCATCGAGATAAAATCAGATTTCCAGGAACAGCTTTTAGAGACAAATTTCAGAGGCGACAACGTTCTCTGCAACATCCGAACACGCTCGAAAGCGTTTCGATGAAACGACATTCATTCATTCATTCATTTCATCGTACTTGGTATCCGTATTTATTATCCGTCGAAATGGGAATTTAAGAAATAACATTATAGCGATTTTCAACACTATTTTCAACACTCTTCGAATTCAACTCTGAACTCGAATCTTTCAAAGAAACGTGTCTAACAATCCTGACAACACTATTCACCATTTCTAATCCGGCAATTTTTGCTTTCGTTCGTAGCGGTGAATCAATTCGATCGACAGGAAAATCGCTAAAAAAAAGAAAGAAAAAAAACTCGACGAATTGGCGCGACGCTTTGACAAATGTTCCAGCGCAGTGTGAAAATAACGAGACTCAGCCAGATCATATCGCTTGTACGAACGGAATGGAAGAGAAAAGGATAATCGTCTCTCTTTTTCTCCCTCCCTCCGAATCAATTATTCGTGGAATGGACGTGGCACGTGCTACAACACGGGATGTACATTGTTTTTCCATTAACAACGCAAAGGAATCCTTTTTTTCTTTTTATCCTCGTTGGATTTTCATCGACGCGAAATCTCATTTCTCGCTCCGGCTCCTTCATCATCGAACGAAAAATATCGTCGGGAGAGGGGAAAAAATTTTCGGCTCGGCTTTGCCGGAATCCCTTCCGGTTTCCCGCCGGATTATATTCCGGATAAACGAGCGCCAAGTCGGCCGAGCGGAGGAAGCGGCCCGATTATGCTCGAAAGTTTTGCCACGGCCACGCAATTATCCCCAGGGTTTAGCTTCGGCCCGGTATCTCTAAGAAAGCACTGAGAAAGGAGAAAGAGAATTTTTTTCTCTAAGTTAAGAAACGAATCCCCGCTCTTCCTTTCCATTACACGCGAATGATAATCCTCGACGAGATACGCTTTCGATGGATACACTCGTTTTCGTTTGTTTGGCGAACATTTTCCTCGCTCGAATTTGGAAAACCGGTTCTCAACTTGGCTGCCTTTCAAATCCAATGGAGAGTTCGCGCCCAACTCTCCGTTACAGCGGAGTTGCTTTTGTCCGTTTGTCCGTTTTTTCGATTGCTCGCGCGCGTCCATTCCATCGGTTTCGTCTTGTGTGTGCAGAGAGGGGGAGTGTGTGGGGTGGATCGATCCATTTCGAGGATGAAAGATCGTGTAAACGAAAATAAATGATATTTTCAACGTTTGTTTGATTTCGATTTTTTCTTTTTTTTCTTTTTTCGTTTCGGGAGAATATTCTTGGATGAAAACAAAAATTACATTTTCTTTTTTGAAAGTTAAAAAAAAATTCAAAGTCAAGCATGATGCGTGAAAGGAAAAAAACAGATTGTTTTTTGAATCTCTTGCACAGTTAAAATTAATTTTCGTTCTTCTCTTATTTTTCTTCTTGCTCATCAAATTCTGTGTTCATATTAAAACACGTTTAATATTGAATCCAGCGTTTGCGAAGTTTGTAACGAATTAAAAGTAAGTTTAATTATAGACGCGTTATGTACGTCTTAAATCCTCCTAAATATAAAACTTGGAAAATTGCTCGCTCTGTACTCACGATATTAAACGTATTTTCCCGCGAAATAATTCAAAAAATTTCGGGAAAAAGTTTTGAAACGATCGATCCATCTCCATCCACTAACGTCCATTAATCCACTACTGTAACATACGATTCTCTTTACGATCTATCTAAATGAGAAATATAAAAAAACTCCTCATATAAGGCCACCACTTTCCCCCATTTGTATCATCGATCGATTAACATCGAGATGGAAGGCTTTGGATCGATAAAAATTCGCTTGGATCGTAAACTCGAGCTCGAGCTGTCAAAAGGATACGTGGATCGAGAAATTACGTCGCATAATGGAACATGACATCATCATCTATCCGTAGCAGCTGAGTCCCGTTCCCGAAATAAGAACATTTCGCTCTTATCGGACATCGATCGAATATGCAAAAACGAAGCTCGATCGTAGTCGAAACTGTTATCCTTCAATTCCGTGTGGACGCTGTCGGGTTTTTAACATGCTGCTTCGAGTCTGTACGGCACAATGTAGGTGAAATGACTAGGGCGAACATCATCAATTCGATTCAATCATCCCTTCGTCACTCCATGCATTTTTCCTACGTTGCGTCTCGAAATATCCAGAACAATTGGATGGGATCATGGATGGAAATTGGAAAATACTTTTTCAAAACCCGTAAAAAATTATATAACTACGAAGCGTGGAAACCACCGACAGTGTTTAATTAGAACGTTAACAGGAAATAGAGAAGGGTGATGGATGTTTATCGAGGTACACAATGACTCTTGAAGTGTAACAACCTTTTTACAAAAGCACCAAAAGCAGGTTTCGTAAAATGAAATCTCCACAATCTTTCAAACACTCTTTTAATCCGGGATGGTAGCACGGGGTTGAAACGTTTAAAGAGAATTTTTATTTTCCGACGGAGCCCGTTTGAAAAAAGAAGAAAGAACGATTCACGATATGATCTCTAATTTTAGCCTTCAACGTACCACCTTCGTAACCGTACGTGAATGCGGAGAAACGAATTCGTGAAAAAGAAAGCCGTTGAAAGGATGGATCTTTCGTAATTTTTATTTACGATTCACGTACGATTCGACGAAGAATAAAAATGTGTCAAAGGGCGGTGTGTCGTCGCTGTAAGAAACGCTCGTCTCCGAACTCGCCATTAATTTTATCGACCGTTCGATGACACGGTGCACCAAGTGTGAGCGATCACACACGTATATAAAGCACGATCGTTCAAGTTGGGCTGAAAATACCGAGAGCGGCCGTTTCTGGCGGCAGTGACCTGATTTTAATTTCACGCGTGCTCGATACGCCACGCTTAGATGAGTTCACCTTTCCTGTTGTGTTTTCGCTCACGCCTCTCCAGCCAAAAGTTTAATCGTCGACCGGAATGTAAAAGAGCGAATTCCTCGCTCTTCTTTCCCCCCTCGCGACATTTGCGCAGCGTCAAAGAGCCTCGTCGAGAGATGTTCAAGACGCGAGACTCGGTCGTGGTGGTAAAAAACACCGTGGTCTACGCTTGTTTATCGAAATTATTGCATAGAGACGGGGATGAAACAGAAAGAGTTTCCCGAACTCTCGGTCGACTTGCTTCCTTTGACGGTCAACTGGGACTATGAACTATCCCCCTCGTGGCTATGCAATTTCTATAAACAGAGGATGGCCTAGAAAGGAAGGAGGCTAACGTTTAAAAAGAAGCTTGATGCAAGCGTTAGAAAAAAAAAAGGGAATCTAACGAGGCGCTATGCTAAAAAAAAAAAAAAAGAAAAAGGCAGGACTTGGTTTTTCATTCGACTCGTACTATACAGGACGTGGATGGACGTGCATTACGTAGTCAAGGGGTCAAGGAAAAAAAAAAAAGAAAGAAATGTGTGTACCATCGCGTTCCGGATGGGATAGGATATAGTTTCAAGAGACAAGATTTCTTTTTTTTTTTTTTTTCAACCACGTTGATATTCTTCCAACCTTCGTGTTGTCCGCTTTGAGCGGAACAACGGAAACGGTGCCGCGGGTTAAGTAAGGGAAAAGTAGAGGAAGGTATCTCGGCTGAAAGGTGTCTAATTTGAACGATGAGCTTTTCGAGAAAATAAAGTTCCACCTCTCAACAATGGACAATGAACTCGGTGAAAAAAGCTTACATATATCATCATCGTTGTGCATACGCGATCTCTTTCCAAAATATCATCGATATTTCATGATCTCATCGACGAGAGATTTCATCATCTTTTCTTTTAATTCTCAACGATCGATCGCCCCTCTTTCAACCCTGCCTCACCTGTTAACGATCGTTAAAAAAATATAACTCTCCGGGTAAAATATCTCGGATCACGAGTGGAAACGAGGTCGAAGTCGAATCGACGAGTTGGAAAAGCCAAGGAGAGAGAGAACGCGTATCCCATCCTTTCGAAACGAAACGAAACCTTTTAAAAGACACCCGATTTTTACGGCGGACCGCAAAAGTTCACGAATAGCACTTTGTCCGCCCCCTTTGCCACCGTTTCCCCGCCCAACGGGGACCCGCGAGGCATAAGGGTACCGGCTCCATTCGACGTCGATTTTTCTGAGTGGAAAAAAATCTGTTCACGTCGGCGTCTATATTTGTTCCTGCTGGTGTTGTTCTCGCTGAACGACGGTCGAAATTTGGGGAAGGAGGGGAGAAAGAAAGGAAGAAACGAAGGAAGGAAGGAAGGAAGGAAGGTGGATTTAGGATAAACCGCATCCCCTCCCCCTCTTCCTTAGAAAATATTATCGTGGCTCGAATTGCACGAGCATTGCCTGGCGCATCTCGAACGAAGTCGGCGAATAAAACGAGGCTGCGACCGCAAAAGTCCGTAACGAGCGGCATTCAAGAATGGCGGAACGATGCCTTTGCACAAAGTACATCGCGCGCGACCCACGATGATCCACAGAAACACGGACAATGCATGCCAGATGACGGTGCGCACTCACCTCCTCGCCCCTTTCCCCCCTTTTCTTTTTTTCTCTTCTCTTTCTCTCTATGCATCGCTCTCGAGTGCTCGAGTTACTAAGTAGCACCAGCTTGTACCGTCATTATCATCTGACCTTTTTGTAATTCGAGGCCGAACCTTGTGTCAGACAGAACATTATTGCACGGAATAATTTTTCGAATCACATCCGGGACAAATAATTCAAAACGCGTCAAGATTCAATTTCCAACGATTCCCATTCTTATTCATTTACGATCTCGAATCGTTCGTATCTGTATATACTGAGATTTTTGTTTATTTACACTCCACCGTTTCTTTATCAGGAGGATTGATTATTCCGTTATCCGCCTCCCCTTGCCCCGCGATCGTAGGAACAATTAGAATCCGTCCCATAATCCGAGTCAATTTACCACGTTAGCGATCGCAATCACCGGGAGAAACTTGAGGCTATGAATAGTTATCGATGCAACCGCGATCTCTCTCCTGGCTGGATACATGCACCGGATTTACGGTCCACGGTGCACTGATTTCTCCAATGTGTCAGTTGGGCCGAGAGGTCGGAAGCGGTTACGGTATCCTCGTCTGGCACGTACGGCCCAGGCTCTTGCATTCGATTTGCATGCAGGAAATTCTAGCGTCGTATTAAACCAGAATCGATTACGCGATGCACCCATTTACGGACAGATTTCTCTCCATCTCTTCGTCATTATATCAGTCGTCAAATTTTTCTTCTTTGGAAAATCTTTTTTTCGAAGAACTTTCCTTTCGTTCGAAGAGAATCAATTATATCATATCTTTAGTAGGAAGTAGGAAGTAGTAGCTTGCATCGAAGAGTATATTTTCCCTTTTTATGAAAAGTATTAGGGATAAATACAGGGATTTTAGGAATCGTTTCTTTAAAGGATCACCGGGAGAAATTTATACTCGCATTAACTCGTAATCTCCAGACTCTCTAACTCTTTCGAGATAACACGCGGAGAAGATCGAGATCATTTTGGGACAATTTGTCTACCTAAACGTGCCACGGTATATATATATATCTCGCTTAAAAGCTGTTAAAGTTGCGTTTGATAGTTTAATCATAACCAGACCTCGTTTTTCCTCGTTTCGACCCAGTTCAGACCTCCCCCCTCTCTTTGAAACATAAATTCGCAATTTCGGCCGCGCAAAAGCCTTCTCCTCTTCTCCCCTCCCTTCTTTCTCCCCTAAAGGAAGATTAAAGATACCTATCCAGCGCGTTAGACGCGCAGATACTGCACGTTTTTTTTTTTTTTCGAAGCGACGCGAAAGCATTTTAGCAGTTTTGCCTCTATTTTTCATCCTGTGTACTCGTTGCATTTGCCGGTGGTAGTGCCTTACCTCTGTCCATATTTCAGCCGATAAAGGATAATACAGTGGATTCTGTGGAGCAGTAGCTCTAACACTGAGTATCTTTCGTCTATACTCGATTCTTTCTCCCTTTTTCTTTTTTATCGCCTTCTGCTCGCATCATCCCTTCAGCTTCTTCACTTGTTCCTAGCTCACTCATCTCATATCGATCTACGATCACGATCACTGCTCGTGCCAACTTTTTTACTCTTTCACACACACACACAACAATAACAAGGAGAGAAATTTTCCTTCTTCTTCGTATCACTCGAATCGAAATGCGGAATTCACTCGCACGAGCACTCGCGATGATCTCTCTTCGTGGACGTGAGACGACGTTTCCCAACCCTAGCCAGCCAAAGGCGAGGTGTCGGCGCGAGATTTCGGGACGCGATAAAAGATTAAATCTCGGCAGGGGACCGTGCAGGGCACGGACTCAGAGGCGGAACTGCACTTTAATCTCTTTACGCGAACGATGGGAGGATCACCAATTCTTCGCCAATCTCGCGGGTGAAAAGGAGAATTGGAGAGTTAAATTCGATTTTGAGAGAAGTTGGCTATCCTTTCCAAGAAAACTTTGTAAAGAGAGAGAATTTTGAAACGTCGTGAAGTTGTATCGGATGGAACGCATGTTGATCGGTGCGACGATGACTCGAACGGAAAAAAAGGCTTTGTGGAGAGGACAACGAGAATCGGAGAGGATATTGCCCAGTTTAGAAGGGGGAAGTGGAGAAGTGGAGACGCGCGCGAACTTCGCTGCCTCCGACGGCCGATGCACCTTGGAACAGGCGAGATACGCGCGCGACACACGCGCGAGTTGCATACGTGCGAGTTATGTTAACGATCCGAGCATACGGCCGCGATCCAATTTTCCACGTGCTTTTGTACGTGTGGGGCACGCCATGCCGAGGGTTTAAGCGGTTTAACGGGCCTGGCCCGTGTCATAACGCGGCCACCTGTCTAAATGCGATTGCGGATCGCGCGGTGAACCGGCACACCCCGATTCGATAATTTTACGATCCGTCCGTGTTTGTACAAAGCCTGCCGGCCGTCCGAGCTTTATTGTAAGGGAGGAGGAGGGGGACG